GAAATGGAGTGCAGACTCATAGTCGACACATCCTCAACGAGGCCACTCGGCACTGAAAGCATGCGCAGAGTGCGACGTTTGTGCTCATCGAGCCTAGGATATACACCCCTCGGTGCTGCGGACGCACTGTCCGACGTTGCACCGAGTGCGGGAGATGGAATTGGGCTCTGCCCATGCTCGCCGTCGGAACCGGCGAGACTTGAGGATTTTGGTGTCATTGACACAGGGCTCATTGAGCAAGGAAGAAGTTTGATCCAACAAATGGAGTTGCAGTGTCTAACGGACACGCGATCCTCGTTGAGGCAATAATCGATTAAATTTTCTCAATCTTAATGGGGGAGGGTGTAACGTAGTTACACGTACTCTGGTAACAGGGGTGTGTCACACAAGATATACATGGTATGGCTGCACCCAAACAATAATACGTTATGTGGCTAGGTAGCCAGTAGTTATGCATATTTCGATTTTACTATATAAATCTAGTATATTCAGGAAAATCTAAGCTTTTATAATTAGGAAAAATAAGATAAATAAAAATCAATTTTGATTTTGAACAAAAGTGTTCATTTGCTTTGGCTAAGGCTTTTAAGTACTTTTAGAGGCAGCGGATTGCGATCCGCTGCACTAGTACTTGGTTCTTGTAAAGAAGGAAAGATTGGTGCCCTAAAACGCTTCCTCAACGCAGCCCGCTGCAAATATAATGAGATCATTTTTATATCTGTTGTGTAAAGTGCACTACAGGGTGGTTTATTACTAGTACATTAAAGGTTATAGTATTCCTTTTATTAAAATGTGAAATTGGAGTATTTTTATAAATTGATTTCTTAAATTCCCAGAGGTAAATTTAACTTAATATTCAGAAAACATTAAATCATGAAAGATAACACAAGCCATACTTGATGATATAGCGCAAGGGAACAGCGACTGGCATAGATTAGAACGTATCATGCGCTAATCGCCTGCAGACGGGCGGCGCTTCGCTAGTTTAAAAGATTAGGTTTTCATGGTGGAGATTGCATATACATTACCGACGTTTTCTAATTGCTGCATATGACATTTGACAGGTTAACTTTCTATGCTAGTGTGTCAATTCTCTATCTTTATAAAAAGCCGTCCGTAAATTGTTGATGAATTTGTAAAAAAATTGTTACATCCCCCTCAAGATCCTTAAGCCATGATTGTCATTCCCTCGCACTGCTGCATTCTGCCCTTAGTTTGGGGGCTTACCTTGCTAACGACCGCCGAGACAACCACAGTGGAGAAAAATGCATCCAATGCTGTATCTATTGTGCCTTATCAGCACATGAAAACGCATATGCCACCAAAAGCGGATGGTGATCGCTAAATGTTCGAGGAGCGAGTCTTTCCTACTTCGACTATGACCAGATTAGCTGGACGTGAGATTCAGCCATTTGCAGATACATTTGTTTTCAAAGAAGTGATTGATCAGCTGCATATGATGAAGTATGTCTCAGATGAATGGGAGCAATTTGATTTTATGACAGATGAAGATGCGATTTCTCATATATTATATGAAATCAACGACGTTACAAATCTATTCCGTCATCATTCCTTTGTAGTTTGGCTCGGAACAAAGTCACCGAAGGATCTGAAAGCCGCGATCTCGACTCTATTGAACAGTTTGAAGAGACTTAAGCACACCAAGAACTATCTACCAAAATTTTTGCGGAGGGAAAGAAAAGAAAAGACATTTCGTATGTTTTGGCTTTAGCTGTGGAGAGGGAATGGTGGTTGAGCATGTCGACGAGTGAGATGTACCATGTTTTAGGAATTTTTTCCGACTTCAAGACGGATGAAGATTTTGTTAAAGAATTGGGACCTTTACTTTGGGGTAAATTTGACCATATCGGAACAGAGGATTTTGTAAAGTTGATGTTGACGAAAATGCGAGAACGATCAAAAGATGAAATTATGTGGGCTGACATTATTTACAAGATGCGGAGTGACAAAAGTGTTATTATGCCCTTTGACGGTTTGTTAAATGAGCTTCTTCGGACGTACGACACAACTGCAGGTGCTTTGTCCATCGATTCTGTCAGGATTCTGACGGAATTCGATTTGTTTAGTATTTATCGTCCAGCGGTAACAGAAGAAAAGAGTGTCGAGATGTTGATAAGAGAGAGGTTACTTCAGCTGTCACCGGATGA